TAATTCTGTTCTCCATAAAAAAAGGGAAATCACCATAATTCAGTATGATTATGATAGCCTGAAACGCAAATACATGTTCTTTAATACAGACTAAACTTTCACTCTGCATAGGAATAACATGTCAAACATGAAGTTCAGTGGGGTTCCCCTAAAAGGTTTATTCCTCTCGGGACTACAGTATATTAACAATAGCAAGTAGAAGGCTGGATGATGGATCGTTGAGAAACTAGGAGCAGACTTAGGTTTATTTTCTGTCTGGAGTTTATTCAACTTATGACTGGTCCCAGACAGTTAATCTCAGTACAGGTTAGACCCATGATGACAAAGATAAACATAAATGTAGACTTTCCATGGGGCTCATTATTTAACTAATGATGCCAGAGGAAGGTCGCTATCAATTGGTAGAAATCTTAATTATGAGAAGACAAGAAGACAAGAAGACAAAACCAACTTTGTCATAGTCAGAACTATTCATTGCAGATTCCTTTGAAATGGCAAGAACACAGGTAATGCCTTTTTATGGTATCTGACATTGCACTTATCAGCATCTTACATTTGAAAACTGAACTTGCTAATCCATAACACTTCTCAAAATCAAAAGGAGTTGACATGAAGCCATCCCATTTTGATCAGTCCAACTTTACAAAACTTAAAATGTCAAGTTTAGACAAAAGATCCACCCATTCAGAAGATTTCTGTCAAATTATGGATGAGTTGTTTTGATCAATTCTGTCCAATATCATTTGGAAAGACTTATTATTTTATCCATTTCAAGTTTGCAAAGGAATAACTGGGATTCATTTGGCTTGACAGGCAGAAGTCTGGTGCACATGCTCACAAGTAGTGTGTTTTCATAATACATTTAAACAAATGTTTTAAACCATAATTAACTTTCTGGTCTCTTTAGGGTTCTGTCCCAGGAAGAGAATACTCTTAAAGTTGTTAACTTTAAGAGTATCAATTTAATCAGATGTCACTATGTGAATGTAAATGTATGTACATTTATGATGCTTATGTGATTACCTTAGTAAAAAAATATATACAGTATTTACGACATCCATTAAAATGAAAACCATATTGTAATTTTTGGCCATTTCGTCCAACCCTAGATTTAATGGATGTTAAAAAACGTATTAGGGGTGTAGATATATCTTAAGTAGAGCATTAAGAAGTATGTGTTTTATTCATTGCAGACAAACAATGAAGTGTGTATGATTGTAACCAGCATAAGAGAGACTACAATTGAGTGTGTGTGTGTTAATTAGACGTATGTTATGAATATACGGATGCAGCCCTGGTACTTGAGTTATGACCTCACTTGTAAGGATTCCAGGGTGGTCCTTTCATAGCCTGTTAAACACACACACACACACACACACACACACACACACACACACACACACACACACACACACACACACACACACACACACACACACACACACACACACACACACACACAATTTCCTCTCTCTCCACACAGCCAGACTTTATCACACTTTACTAACAAGCATGAAGAGAGTGTGTCGACACACAGTTGAGCACAGGGAGCATTTTGTTCTCTGTCTTTAACACCCGGGGTTCAACACATTGTACTTACACACTGCCTAACTCTCCTTTCCCGCTCCTCACTCACTCACTCACACACACACACACACACACACACACACACACACACACACACACACACACACACACACACACACACTAACATGCCTCAATAACTTAGTCATTCAAAGTGTCTCTTTTAAACTGTACATTTACACACCCAGGAGCAGGAACACAAGAATCTAAAATCCCCTCTTTCTGTGTCCTCTTTCTTGCTCAATTTTTCCCCTTTTGCAAGACCCACCCACCGGCTGTTGACACACACACACACACACACACACACACACACACACACACGCACAATGACAGGATCTTTCTCTGCAGGCTCCAAGTGTCTGATGAAAGTGTTGGGAATGTGTACTGAGAGGCCATTGACACTTCCTCCACTTTCTAGTATACTGATGACTAGCCCCAGGCTTCTAATGCCCCGCTGACTGCTCCCTCCAGACATGTAATGGCCATAAACCCCAGATGACAAGCAGAATAAATGGGCTTTCATCTGTGGTAGTTATTGTCGTAGTGACTCTCTCATTGTGGATCTATCCTGCATTAGTGCTGCTGCTGTCACTCAGCTGCTCCTTGCAATGCTTCTTAATGGGTGGCTTTCTTTTCGGCAGAAGTAATGATTATAAACCTCAAAATGACATGGATGTTTGATAATGCCATTTGTTAGGTAATAAAATCCCAGCACAGATGCCAAAGGGAAACCATAAAATCCAGAACAAACAGGAAAAGGCTGCTTTCTGTGCACCATCACAAATTTAGCAGTTAGCTTCAAGAATCTCTAGACCATTGACCTGTGCTACTTCCTGACCCCGTCATCAAACACTTTGTGCATTATGAGAGCATACAGTGTCCATAAAGATTTCATATTTTATTTACTTTCATTAAAGGATTGGTTCACATTTTTTAAAAGTCTATCTTAAAACAATACATACATTTTTACATAGATACAGTATTGACTTGCTGATATTCCCCCTGCTTTAAATTGACATAAAAAAATTAATTTTCCTTATTTTAAGCACAAATAGAACTCTTTAAAGAAAATATATAGATTAGATTTGCTCGTAGCAATGGTCCAATGTCAAACAATAGTCATAACACGTATGGAAGAAAAGTTACCACATTCAAATGATTCGTGGCTAATGTTTATTTTTTGACATGTCCTCTGAAACCAGTTAGCAGAAACATCCGGCCTGTCTGGTACTGTTCAGCACGAGCAATAATGTAATAAGGCTAATAAAATGTAGCGCTGCTTTTTCAGTGAATGAAATAACATCTTACATCCACTCCAAGCAAACATGGCTGCAGATGGAGTCCCTTATCGGCCTGCCTCAGGAAATTGGACATATAAACAGAACCCAGAAGACGGTTTATTTAATTGATTAGGACTTCCTTTAAATACTGTTATTGGTGCACTGCCACGCTTAATACACACCCGTTTGGCAAAGTACAAAGATGTTGTGCGCTGCCAACATTCTGAGCCAGACGACTGTACTATAGACTATGGACATGTTGCTTTTGTATTGGATTTTGGTTCTTAAAATATGGGATACATTTAGAATTTATAGCATTGGGGTTCTATGGAACAGAAGCAAAGTCATATAAAGTTATCACGTACTTAGATTATATGCAATAACCCATTATTTTGGTGCATTTCTTGTATGGGGCGAAGCCTGCGAGCTAGTTCAGGCAGTCAACTCGAGCACCAATGATACATTAACACGTGACGCACCTCGTCCCTCTTACAACCAACCAAACACATTCTCCTAAACATGCCGCTCTATTTAAGCTGCCAGGTCTTCCTGCCTCTGCCTCGCTATGCTGCTGCTGCTGCTGCGCTGCTGTGTTCACTTGCTATTGCTGCGTTCATGTTCCTGCTGCTGTGTTTCATGTTGCTGCTGCTCGCCTGCCCCACCACCACCCCAGCTCCACCCCAGCTTCCACCTGTAGGCTCGCGGGATAGTTATCTAATCATCACTCAATGTTCTTTGTAAATCTGTGGAGTGATGAGGCCCGAGCCAAACTCAAACTATATGCTGCTTATAATAAACATATTAAGAAACACGTGAGTTGTCTGACTGAAATATCATAGCCATCAAAACAGTATATTACCAATGAGATAAAGAGATCCTCTGCCATAATTGTTTTGGCAAGCTTCAGCTTTCATAACTTTCAACACATTTCCCAGGAGCACCATTTATTTGTCATGCTAGTTTTTGAGAGGGGAAGGTTGTTTTTCCAACATTGCAAATGAGTCCAAGAGGAGAAAATCCTTCATGTTTGCAGTTCTTTTTTTCCAGAGATTTTTGCTGTCACTGCAGAGAGGAAATAGAGCTTAGATAATTTGGATTGTCTTATAGGAAGGTGAATTGGGAGAGGATTCCCACAAAAGCAATACACTTTAATGCAGGATTCTTTCTTTATTTCCTAGACCCCTTGCCCTCTTCTGTTGCTTTGTCTCCATCTTACATACACACACACACACTCTTACTCTAGCCCTGGGGTTATGTTTCCGGACTTGAATTGGACTGGAGCTAATTACACACTCACATTTCCTGTGAGCATTGTTTATATGTGTGTGAGTTGACTCTAAGTGTCATATGCAACTTAGTTTTCTCTGTTTTTGATGCACTTTTTTTTATGGACATTCGTAAAACTTGCAGATGGCAGAAGCAGACTCATATCACACTGGGGTTTATTCACACAGCAAACATATAAACACACAAGCAGGCACACAGACCCACACATGCAGACACACAACCCTTGTGTAGTGTTGCTGTTAATTGTCACTTGTAGACAATACAAGGTTTGTTTTTAGAACTTTCTCACACCTTTTGCTCATATACTGTAGAGCTCGTAAATATTTGTGAACGATTGTTGCTTTTTGTGTGTGAAACAGTCATTGCACCACACGCACAAACACACACAAATGACAACTTATAATGTGGAGTCTAAATCCAAAGGGGATTTGAGTTTTTCCATGTTTCAGGACCCGGCTTAGGTCCACATGTTCTCCTAAAGCGCTGCTCTGTGTGAGGAATATAGGCTATGCATTTTCCAAGACTGTATGCATTAACTCATTCTTGACCGAATTATAAATTTGACATATGACAAATGAACTCAGAGGCCATTCTGATTAGTGTGGACGGTTTGTTTATTGTGTCATACATCCATGCAAAAACATATTTAAAATACTATTTTCAAATATATGTATCATTCTTTACATGGTTACTAAAGCACCCATTGCTGTATATCTGCTATTGGATGTTTTAAGTGATGATTCCTAGAGTTGGTCGAAAAAATAGCAAAATGTTGAGAAAATTCACAGAAATCGCTCAATTCTTTGTACATAACTAATATAATTTCTCCTTTCAGAAACCACTGCCACCATGGATGACGAACAGTGCTACTACAACGAGAGCATCGCCTTCTTCTACAACCGCAGTGGCAAGTACCTCGCTACTGACTGGAACACCGTAAGCAAGCTGGTGATGGGCCTGGGCATCACCGTGTGCATTTTCATCATGCTCGCCAACCTTCTGGTGATGATCGCCATCTACGTCAACAGGAGATTTCACTTCCCTATCTACTACCTGATGGCCAACCTGGCAGCTGCAGACTTCTTCGCCGGACTGGCCTACTTCTACCTAATGTTCAACACGGGACCCAACACGAGGCGTCTGACTGTGTCCACATGGCTGCTGCGGCAGGGCTTGATCGATACCAGCCTGACGGCGTCTGTCGCCAACCTACTCGCCATCGCCATTGAGCGCCACATCACCGTGTTCCGCATGCAGCTACACACGCGCATGAGTAACCGGCGTGTGGTGGTGGTGATTGTCATAATCTGGACGATGTCTATAGTCATGGGGGCCATCCCTAGCGTTGGTTGGAACTGTATCTGTAGTATTAGTTCTTGTTCCAACATGGCGCCGCTTTACAGCAACTCCTACCTTATCTTCTGGGCAGTGTTTAACCTTGTGACTTTTGTTGTTATGGTGACGCTATACGCCCACATCTTTGTCTATGTGCGCCAGAGGACCATGAGGATGTCGCGGCACAGCTCCGGACAACGACGCAACCGAGACACCATGATGTCTCTGCTGAAGACCGTGGCGATTGTGTTGGGTAAGAAATACGTGTTTTTTTATCTTTCTTTCTATCCATCGTTTCAACTAGCTTGGCCTCCATCTTTCTATCTATCAATCACTGCATATCCACTGCATGGGATGAGACTGCTCTGCTACTTGAATTTTTCTTTTTTCTTTTTTTGTTCGCAAAAGTTGTGGATAGTTCCTGGTTCTTTTTTTTGGTCCCTTCTTGGTTGAGGTTCAAGCAACACTTCCAACCAATGATTGGTTCGAGACAATCGTCACTACCACAACAGGGGACACGCTACTGTCAATAGTGACAATGTTTGTAATTATTCAACCTCAGGAAAAGATGTCAGCACTATGTTGTTCAAGTGACTCAGTGTAGACGTTTGTCTGATGCTTAAATTAATTACCAAGTGTTGCGTTAAAGATGATGTTACAGAAGTTTCATGTGGCGTCACTATCACGTCACCATTGTGGGCTTACTATCGGCAGTGGAAATCTAAACAAAAAGAACGTAGAAGTAGAAGTGTGTCGTCAAAATGAGCCATAATGTAGCTCAATCTAGCAATCTGCCTAGGGATCTGTCTATCTAGCCTGCTATTAAATTATCGCTATTATTCTATACATTTATCTCGATCTTGCCACCCCTACCCTGTATATCAAATCCAATCAAATCAAGTTTTATTTATAAAGCACATTTAAAAGCGATTTTTGGTCGAGCCAAAGTGCTGTACATGTAATAAAAACACATTACTACAATCACAATAAAAGACAATAAATTACAACAGATACTGTATATAAAAAACACAGGGAAAAGTCAGCAGTCGTGCTCCGCTCTGACTAGAAGGCCAGGAAGAAGAAGTGTGTCTTAAGAGTAGATTTAAAAACCCCTAGGGTCTGGGCCGACCTCACATGGAGGGGCAGAGTGTTCCAGAGCCTAGGGCCAGCTGCTGCGAAGTATATCTGGTACTATCTCTCTGTAGCAGTGAATGCCACATTTGAACTCATCAGCAGCATCAGAACAATGGATCTGTTGATGGGTCTGTGAGGCTGTATCATTCAGCACGAGCACAGTGTCTGCCTAGCACCACTGTAAGCTTCAAATACATCATCTCAGCCAACCCCTGACGTGTTATGTTAATGTGCCGAGCTTGTGTATGAGTAAGTTCTGTACAAGGTCTGTTCAGTGCAACATGAATATGATCTCATAAAACCATTGTGTATTGCAATTGTATATATGTTGTTTGTTAAACATTGTACAAGGTCATGCAAGTTGAATCTACAAACCAGGTTTAGACTCTTTGTGGATGGTCGACATTTGAAAAACTGTTGTTATAGTTAGTTTGTATGCAAAGACAATGACAATGGTTTTCTCTACTTGATGCTGTGAGCAAAATCACTTTTTCCTGAAGTAAATGAAAGTAGAGATTAAACAGATTCCAACTTCTGCAAATGTGTGGGAAAATTCTTCAAGGAAGATTTTGAGTAATATTAGAAAGGAACCTGCTGATAATCAGTATGACCCTCCTTTACAAGCCTTTTAATATTTTGGCTTTTACCTAGACTACATGACTGAGTGTATTGTACCTTCTGATGCATATCACCAGTGTAATCACTACATTCAATATCCATATCCTTCAAGGTAACATTGTACTACTCAATGGTACATTTGGGTTTGCTTACACTGTGACAAAACTATTTTCTGATGAAGCAGCGCCCGTTTATTCAAGCTGCGCTGTGTGTGCAGTCTGACAGTTTTATGTCCGAGCATTCAGTGGAGATTGTGTATGTTTCCCACTCTGCAAGTCTCCAGGCGTCTTCAGTGCTGTGTAATAAATAGAGCCGTTGCTGTTTTTCTACAGTAAAGCAGAGTAGCACACTAACTCAGTTTTGTGTAAAGTAAGTGAGTTGTGGGAAAGGCCCTTCTTGCTGCCTGGAAGCAGGATATGTTGGTCCTAGACAAAACATACCAAAGGATTCTGTGTGATTTGTCTCCTATGTGCTGTGTTATCTCATCCTGTTGTCTTTACTCCAGAGTTAATTCATAGCAGTGGTCAGCACAATGCGCTCTGCAGCCTGCAGTATGTAGAAAACTGGAGGACATAAATATTCTTCTGCTGTAGAGATGCTTTGTTTATTTCTACTTATTTAACCTGCCTTATGGTATACAAGCAGTTTCATCTGCAGACATAACGAGGCCTCTTAAGGTGAGACACTACAGACAAAAACAATAGGGTTCTTCAGACTAGTGTTAATTTTATGAGTTTTATCCATTTGTGTCGGGTTTCTTTTTACTATATATCCTTCATAGCCTGATTTATAAACCATGTTATTTTTAAAACATGTATTTTTCTCTTTGTAAGAGATTTCCTGATTGAAAGAACTTTCAAAAGGTTTATCCAATGCTTGGATTTATGTTAAGAAAATATTCAATAAAACAATGCCTCATTTGCATATTTAAACATACAATTCAAATAGATAAATGTCATTATTTTCTGAGTTATTGCAGGTAAATCAGATCACCTGTTGGCTCCTAATTGGTGGTTGAGAGCAGCTGGGTACATTCCTCTCTCGGCCAATCAGATTGTGTTGAGTAAGATTTTAAGACAGGTGGAAAACTGCACTCTTGAGGCATTCTGCTCCTTCTTTCATTTAATGCAGACCTCGTTTCAGCAGATATTGTCAGCCAGAACGTCTGCTCTTTAGGCCGCAAGGAAATCTGAACTTTCTCTCTGTCTTAAAACATTTCTGATTGAGGACGTTTTTGAGCTTTCTGTAACTTAGCTGGAATCAATATTTAAAGGCAGATTTGAGTATGACTCATGCAAGAGGTTATGTCTTCTTATGATGACTTATTAGGCAATCTTTCTTTGCAAAGGCACTTTTAGATTTGTTTACGTGCCTGCCTATCAGGCTTCTTCCTGATTTAGCTGGAGTGGAAATCTTTCATCGGAAGTTCTTGTGTCATGTGCTGTTCCTAACTTGTTGTAGTCAATGTTCCAAACAAAAGTGTGAGTCATCCAAAACACTTCTATCCCTAAAAACAAAAAAAAACCTATAAATGGCAACATGTTCCAAATGCTGGTGAATGACTTCATCCTGAAACAGCAGGGGATGCTGCAGAAATTAAACAAAATACACCCTATCTCGGCAGTTGCTCAATCTCAGGTTGTGCCAGTAAAAAACAGGCCTGTGTTCAATGACGTGAGAGTCCAAGCTTTTAATTTACAAAAGCTTTACTTTATCTGGAAGGTTTTTAAGTAAACAAAAGCTACTCCGCAACAAACTGAAAAGTTAAATTAGCCACACTGACTGACTAAACGACTGCTGCTCTTTGGCTCTTTGAGTACTGGAATCAAAGAGAAGTTAACACTTATTTATAAATCATCGAAGGACTCAGTTGAGGAAAAGCAGCCCGATTTTCTTGAAACTTGTTGAAAGGGTGTTGAAATGGGAAAAGATAGAACTGAGTACATTTTGAAGCAAATCGAAACACTTGTTTACATTGCGTCACAAGGACTGTCAACAAAATACAACTTTATCCCTTTTCCGTAATGGGGCAAAATATATTGTTTGCTTAGGCCGAGCTACAAAGGCATGTTTAGTGATTGTCTGCCTTTGGTCTGAATAGTTTTACGATTGTCAAGACAGTTTCGCAAATCTCCAAAATGAATCTGAATCAGTATTGTTTACCATTCCTAAACACATCTCATCTGTTTCTTTTTACTGATGCCAAAGTGTTACTGGGAAAGTAAGTCTTCTGAGCAAGGGTGTGATGTGTTTTGGTTCAGTCTGGAATCCACTGCTGTTTCTGAGTGAGGTCATTCTTAGGATGATTGAAAATAAGATTTGTATTTGTACTGACAGAAGGGAGTTAGTTTCTTCTTGGTTTAATTGGATGTGCGTTACAGTGACTTATGTACATCTCTCTTACATTTATCTCTAAGCTCCACTGGAGTTCATACTGTCATTGTGTACTGGGTTTTGATTATGTGCGACTTTTTATGGGAAGTTCAGCTTTTTGATGAAAAAGTGAACCAAACAGCAGTTCCCTGTCCAGCATATCCCATCTGCTGAACAGATGATGATAAGTGCTCCCCTGCTGCCTGCTGTCCTCTCCACTTGTTCTTCTCAGGATACTGTAAAACCAGCCATGGGTGATTTCTCCTCAGAAGGACAGGATGGGATGGAAAGTTGGTTGCATGCAATTGGGCACATTCATGCACACACAAAGACTCTCTCACACTCACACAAACCCCTAAGCACAAGAGAGAACAGTGGGACAAGAGATTGGCTCCATTCACATAAACTCTGATGCTTACTATGGGAAAACAAAACCAGAATGTGGTATGAGCTCTGCTTGTTTTGCAAAGACAAGAGAGACATGGACACACGCATGTGGAAATAACTTTATAACACAGGCACAAAGTAATTCCCATGCAAGGTACCCTGTGGATTTTTGTACCACTAGTAGTGCTATGGTGCTATCGAGCAAAGAGTTTACAAAGAAAATGCATGCTCACCATGGTTTTATAAAGAGAACAGCGAGGCAGGACCCCGTTAATTCCTATGAAAGTTGTTCAGTCTAGTTTTCTTTGACAAAGATGGGACCAGATGGCTCAAAACAGGATAAGGTTGACTAAATATGATTTGAAAACTAACAAGGATATTTGTTATTGGACTAAAACTAAATAAAATAACTGACAAAATCACTACTACATTCAACCAACAGTGCTTCTCTGCTGAAAATAACATTTTGAATTGCACCAACAGAGATTCCCTTCATCACTCTTCACTGAGTCAACTGCATTGTCAAATTAACCATGACCCTTTGTGTGTCAGGTGTTGTCTCATGCAGGGATCTTCTGTGAATGATTTGATTATCTTAATGCCCCTGGTGTTGTAGGCATTCGCATCGTCAGACAGAGTGGAGCGCCAAGACATACCATAGTACAAGCACATGCACACAGATGCCATATCACTGACTTACGTTTGTTTCTCGCAATGTATAACCAATCAATGTTCAACCCA